GAGAGACAGTTGCTAAATGGGCTTAACCACCTGAGAAGGGACATGGCAGCAAGGACAGAAAAAAGCCTGTCTCACTGTTGATTACAACTGAAATCCTGTAATCACATGGGTTGGCTGCAATAGGTCTATTTAAGCAGAAATCAAAACCTAAAACTTCAAGAACTGGAAAAGTACTGTGGGAAGTCAGCCCCCCCTCCAGAGAAGGAAATATTAAAAGGGCAGAATATATTTCCCTAAAGGATTTTAAAGGTAGAAACTAACCCTGCCCCCAAGTCTTTCTGTGCCAAGCAGAAACCAAGTCTGCAGAATGCAGATAATCTTGTCAGAAAGACTGGAGTCAGGAAGCTGGGATTGGGAAGAAAAATCTCTAGAGTCAACACCAAAAATCTAAGAGTCATCAGCCCCAGCCCCAGGGAAGTAGATATGACCTTTGGGACATAATAGGATTAACCCACCACCATCAGAATACCAGAAAGGCACACCCAGACTCAGGTCAAAATATGTGACACAGGAAATACAAAGCCTGAAACAGAAATAGCAAACTACTCCAAACAAAAGGCTCCAGAAGGTATAAAAACCCACTCCCTACATGTGCTAATTCTCTTTCTTCCAGAGCCTTCTTCCTGTTTGGCTCTCCTCTTCAATAAACTGCAATCTTCTTCCTAAAGCAGTCACCATGTTGTTTATCCCTGGCTTGGATGAATCATGATGAAGACTTTTCCTTCAACAGTACCATACAGTATTAAGAATAGAAGCAAAAGTAGTGATATTGCTGAATTGGAATATGGTCCTAAGCATTTGCAGTATACTGCAAATAAGAAAATTCGATTGGATTTAAGTAATTTAAAGAAGTTGATGCAAAGAGACCTGAAGAATAAAAAAATCAGAATTAGCCTGATAACAAGGTGTGACCTGGAAAACAAGGAAATTACAGTTGTGGTTGAATTTCTAAAACAAAAAGTTGTAGCTATTTCAGAGAAAATAAAGTGATATGATAACAGTTTTTGCAAAGTTCACAATTTTGAGTGAACCAGCAGATGTGAACATCTTCCATTCTACTCACTTTTACAGCACTTTCAACCTGCTTGATCCACTTTGTATTCCCATTGTGCTTCTTTGTTCTGAAATTTTGAAAGGATTTTAGAACTTGTGGGATGACAAGAAGCACTGAAATGTCAGCAGAATGGAAGATGTTCATATAACAAAAAAAAAAAAAATGGTGCAAAAACAAGCACAGAAGCTCAAGAACTGGAGGGCCCCTGGTTTAGATGAGCTGCATGGATTCTGGTTGAAATCATTAACAGGTTTGCATGCAAGATTAGTAAACCAGAGGAATCAAGTTCTGGAAACACCAGAAAAATGGCTAACAACTGGAAGAACCTTTTTGATTCAGAAGGATGCAGAAAAAGGAAATAAATCTGAAAATTACAGGCCAGTCACTTGCCTGCCAACAACATACAAATTACAAACATTATTGCAAACCAAATTTATGAATATTTGGAAAACAAGGATTTGCTGCCTATGGAATAGAAAGGGTGCAGCAAAAATTCAAGAGGGATCAAAGATCAACTGAGGATTGATAAACTGGTTTTGAACAATTCAAAGAAAAGACAAACAAATTTGTTCATGGCATGGATTGATTATAAGAAAGCATTTGGTTCTGTTTCACACAGCTGGATTGAGAAATGCTTAGACATTTTAGGAATTAGCAGCAACATCCAGAAATTCCAGAAGACTTCCATGAAGTCTATGGCAAACTAAGCTGATGGCCTGTGGAGAAGAAGTTGGTGAAATTGAAATCAAACAAGGAATCTTCCAAGGTGACTCATTGTCACCTCTGTTATTTGTACTTTTGATGGTGCCACTAACAAAACAAATTGTGGCTATGAATTGGCTAAAAAAGAGTTGAAAATTTCCCATTTGCTCTACATGGATGATTTGAAACTGTTCGGAAAAACAAAAGCTGAATTGAACTCACTGCTAAAAAGCACTGAGGAGTTTAGCAGAGATATTAAAATGCAATTTGTCATTGACAAATGTGCAACAATTGTTGTTAAGACAGGAAAAATGGATTCAAGCTTGATAATGAAGAGCTGATAAAAGCAGTAACACCAGAAGAAGGGTATAAGTACTTGGAAGTTTTGGAAGCTTCTGACCTGTTGCACAACCAAATAAAGGAAGGTGCTTCAACAAAATACATAAAGTGAGTCCAGAAAATCTTGAGATCAAACCTGATTGGAGGAAATATCATAAAGGCAATTAACATCTGGGCAGTGCCTGTAATACAATACTCAGCTGGAATAATTGATTGGACTCAGCTAGAACTTGATAACTTGGATTGAAAGACAAGAAAACTAATGACAATACACCATGCTCTGCACTCAATTGTACTTGTCAAGATTTCAGGGTGGCTGAAGTCTCTTAACAGGTGAAACAAACTGGAAGAGGAAAAACGTGGCTTAAAGGACTACATAAAAAAAGCAAAAGAGCCTCTGTTGAAGGAGGTGAACTAGGGAAACCTCTTGAAAACAAGATTGAAAGCAAAATATCAAAAGGAAACAATTGAGCCTATGCATAGTCAAAACCTGAAGGACATTGAAGGAAAGGTAGATACAAAGCTAACATGGGGATGGTTGAGATCAGGGGTGCTGAAAAAAGAAACTGAAGACTTCGTTTTGGCTGCTCAAGAAGAAGCCTTGCAGACCAATTCCATGAAAACAAATATATACTCAGATAAAACCTTAACAGTTCTTGATCCTTGGCTAGGACTTGAACTATTAAGTTTTTACATTCCAGACTGTGAATTGAATTGAAGATTAACAATAATAATAATAATAATAATAATAATAATAATAATAATAATAATAATAATAATGTCCTAGGCTCATGTGATCCGCTTTTGTAGGCAAGAAAGGTCATGAAATGGGGCAAAACCCGCTTAACAACTGTCTTGCTTAGCAATGGAAATGTTGGGCTCAATTTGTTGTTGTAAGTCGAAGATTACCTGTATACCGATCCAATGGCCTGTCCATCTCAGTGACATGTCTCTAATATTCAAGAAGTTATTCACTGAGGAAGAGCCACCAAGGTCTATGCAGTCTGAAAATGCAATCAAGACATATTGAGTAGAAACCTATATGTTTCTAAGAGCTGCTTAATTCATCCATTGCATCAATCTTCACACAAAAAGAAATTATAGCACAACATACAAAAAAATTCTGCAAAAAACAAACTAGAAACAAAAATTAAAATAAGCAAGAAAATGGTAAGAGAACACCTATATGACCTTGACGAATATAAATCACTTAGAATAGAATAGAGCTGGAAGGGATCTTGGAGGTCTTCTAGTCCAGCCCCCTGCTCAAGCAGGAGAACCTATACCATTTCAGATAAGTAACTGTCTAGCCTCTTCTTAAAAAGCTCCAGTGATGGAGCACCCACGATTTCTGGAGGCAAGCTATTCCACTAGTTAATTGTCCTCACTGTCAGGAAGTTTCTCCTTAATTCCAGGTAGCTTCTCTCTTTGATCAGTTTCCAGCCATTGTTTTTTATCCTGCCCTCTGGTGCTTTGGTGAATAACGTGACCTCTCTTCTTGGTGGCAGCCCCTCAAATACTGGAATACTGCTATCATGTCTCCCCTATTTCTCCAAATTTTTGCCAAACACTCAACATCTTTTTGTGATATGACGACCAAAATTGGCTGCAGTATTCCAGGTGTGGTCTTACAACCCAGGATTGTATTAGCCAAAAAAGCTAGTACAATCTTGGGTTGCATAAACAGAGGCATAGAATCAAGATCACATGAAGTATTAATACCACTATATAAAACCCTAGTGACACCATACCTGGAATTAAAGAGAAAGTTTCTAACAGTGAGGACAATTAGCCAGTGGAACAGCTTGCCTTCAGAAATCGTGGGTGCTCCATCACTGGAGTTTTTAAGAAGAGGCTGGACAGTCACTTGTCTGAGATGGTATAGGTTCTCCTGCTTGAGCGGTGGGCTGGACTAGAAGACCTCCAAGGTCCCTCCCAGATTCCATTCCATTCCATTCTATTCCATTCCATGTTTCAGATTGTCCATCATAGCCATCTTCTAATCCATTCCTATGTAGGAAATTGTCTTTATCTAAGGGATGCCTTCTTATAAACTCTTTGCTTTTCTCTTGGTGTGATATGTATGTGGCCTTATTTTTCATGAAAGCAGTGCAGGTTACCAACATAGTGTTAGGACCTTTACCATCTTTTTGGAGGGATTTGTGTACATTCCTCATTTCTGTCTCTTCCAGTCTGTCCTCGAGAGAAAAGCTTGTTCTATGAGAAGCAGGAACTCATTGCATCAGGTACTCATGCTGATTTATGTCCAGCTGGCAGGATAGGGCTGTGGTGGTGATCCTGTGTTCTTTTTTATTATTATTAAAGGCACATGAGTTTTATCAGAAAAAAATAGCAGTAACTATAATACACTACTAAGCATGACAGGACAAGCAGGAAATATTTAGCTGTTTCTCCTTTTTCAAAAGCAAGACATTGTAGGATATGTGTCTGTGGAATTTTAATTCTCAAGGCAAATTTGAAAAATAGAATTAATCTTTTGCCAACAAAGCACTTGGTTGACATAGCTATGATGACTCAGGTGCTGATTAGGTTTGCCATAATTGATTTAGTCTAGGTTCAGATGAAACACAATCATGTCCTGCTTGCTCTAGAGATGATACAGCAGAGAGAGCAAAGAGTTGGGTGGGGGGAACTGAGCTGATGTCAGTCTATGTGGTGATGTCATTGCAATGAGAAATAGATTTGGCTGGCACTAGGCTTTGCTTATTTAGTGGAGGTTGAAGTAGGCAGAGACCAGAGACAATAGAAAAGCTGGTCTCTCTCTCTCTCTCTCTCTCTCTCTCTCTCTCTCTCTCTCTCTCTCTCTCTCTCTCTCTCTCTCTCTCTCTCTCTCTCTCCCTCTCCCTCCCTCCCCCCTCCCTCCCTCCCTTCCCCCCCTCCTCTCTCTCTGAAGGAGCATCTTGATCAGTTAGGAGTTAGAAAGCTCTTTTATTTTCTTGACTCTGGGGCTACATAAGCTCTTGATTTATGTCAGGAAGGAGATGCCAGCCCATGACATGGACTGTGATGTCTCTTCTCTAGTTGCCTGTGTAGTGGATATAGAGGTATTTACCAACCAAGATGTTAAGGTATGTGCATGCCTTTCATTCTGCAGAGATGCTTCTGACAAGGACACTTGCAGGATAACAAGAATGTTTAATGTCCTGCAAAAAAAAAGCAGATCAGATTGTCATGATTATTACCATAACAACCAGAATATTGGGAGTTTAGTATGAAAAGATTAGGGACTATTTCTTCATCTTGTTTTTAAAATGGATTTGTGATCTAATAAATCTAAGAGTTACATCACAAATGAAACCTAATTAAATAGTAAATTCTCTTCAGTTTTTTGCAGTCTGATGCCTTAAACAAAACAACCTATCTTTTTAAAGTAAATTAAGGAATAAATTATAAATGCATGTGGGTGCATGTTCTCTGAGTATAATTGTTCTGTAGTGAAGCTGTGTTGACCTTCAGGTGTTTGTATATGAATGTATTATTGAACTGAAAAAAATATCTGTGACTTTGCACTGCATAGCCAATAATGTGATTCACCCGAGTTAAAGGATTATTTCAGCCAAAGTTGGACAGTTTTACTTTTTTGTATAAAAATTTGAAAACTTGAGCTACATTTCTCTTATTTCCTCTTGATCTCCTTTTGTGTACATCAATGATAGTGATTTTTTTTCTTTTTGTTGCCAAATATCTTAAAAATTAAGAAGAATGTTGTGAAATACTATTGGTGTACCTAGTCAGAAAAGCTTTCCTTTAAATTGTATTTGTAAAGAGCACAGTGTATTGCATCTGCCTATCTCATTACTGCATTACTGTATAAGAGAAAGGGAAGCCCTGAAGCAGCAGGCAAAAATCATTGTTGCAAATTGTTTTATTTTCTGGAAATTATATTGTGTCAGTGGCAGAGAGTGGGTGAAATATATTATCGTTTTTTTTGTTTGTGTGTTTTTTGTTTAAAAAAAAACTTAAATTCTGAATACAGTAACAGCTGGTATTTCATATTCACATTGTGCAACTAATATACTTTTTAATAGATTTATTCTTTTCTAGGTCCATGTTCTGCTGAATTTCTTTCTCTGCATTGGGGCTGGAGGAGTGTGTATGAGAGAGAGAGAAGGGGGGGGGGTTGTGAATGCAGTGTCTTCTGTTTGTTGCAAGCTGAGAGTTTGATGTAATCTGTATAATGTAAAGATATAATCAAATACTAGAATTATATTGGAATACTTAACAATATCTCGATCAAAGTGAAGCATCTCAATCAATATTTAACTATCATACTTGTTTTTCTTCTAAGACAAACCTAGAATCTAAAGTCATGGTCAAAGTCACTGCAATATATTATGGTAATCCAAAGATAGCCAGGCTGGGAAAAAGCAAGGGGTTGATCACCAGATTCAGTCTTCTGGAAGTTTTCAATGAAAAGCTTCCCCTGATGGCAGGGGGTACTCAACGTTTTGTTACATATGTGGAAAAAGTCTCCTTTTCTTAAACACTTGTTCTCACATAAGAAAAGGCCTCCATTCGGGTTTCTTTCAAAACAAGCCACCAAGGAGAAGGAATGCACAGCTATATGTTACACGTATAAATGAAGCTCTTGAGACAGAAAAAAAGAAAGAGTTGGAAAAGGTTGGGCATATTTGTTAGTAGCTTTTGGTCAGGAGCAGATCCTGTAAATCAGTAGTTCTCAACCTTTTTAATGCCATGACCCCCAACCAGTCATACGTCGAGGACTACCCAACCGGTTGTAAGTCGAGGACTACCCAATCGATCGTAAGTCGAGGACTTTCCCTGCCTGGGAGCGCCACGCATGCGTGGTGCCGCCTCCTGCACCAGCCGGGGCGTAGCTGGTAAGGGGCAGCAACGGCGCAGGGCGACCACTGGCTGGGCCACCAGCTGGCCCAGCCCAAGAGAGGTAAGGCACCCGCCGGGCCCCACGCGCGCCAGCAATCCTCCCGGCCTCCCACCTCCACCCCTGGCCCTCTTTTACTTACATTTTTAGTAGTTGCTCAGCAGGGAGGGGTGGAAGCTTCCATACAGCTCGCCTTCACTGCAGACAACTTGAAGCACCATTTGCAGACTGGACTTTTGGCGGGCTCAGCAGGGCAGAGACAGCCTGGACAATTCCTATTGGCTTTTGAAAGCCAATAGAATTAGACTCTATTCAAGAGAGTCTATTCTATTGGCTTTCAAAAGCCAATAGAATAAAAGGGAGTAGCACAGCTAAGGAAAAGGGGGGAAAATGGCAAACTGCGTTGTTTGGCGAGCCCCGTGAAATGGTCGTTCGACCCCAAATGGGGTCGCGACCCACAGGTTGAGAACCGCTGCTGTAAATCCATTCCAAAGTGTAGGTTCAGGGACAAATGTTGCAGAACTCATCCAAGGGAAAGAGAGAACTGCAGCAGTGATTTCCAAAGACAACCATCTGAGGTGTCCACATGGACTAGGTCAGCTTGGCAAAAATGTCAGTAGACATTGGGAATGGGGAAGAAAAGGAAGAGAGGGAATTTAGTCTCCATTGCCAGGAAGCTATCAAATTCTCCAAAGGAATCCCCTCTACTTTTCATCTAGAGTGCTAATGGTACGTTGGGGCCTATGCAGTGGGTTTTTTCTCTCCACTGATTGCTTTTCCCTTTTGACCTCCTTTTTTCCTATGATTTGTGAAATGATCAAGGTAAGATATAGCTTCTAGGAGCAGCAGTGGTGACTGCTTTGGCTGCTTGCTCATTTTCCTGAGCAGGTAGGGCAAAGGGCAACAGCAGGGAGGCAGCAGCTGCCATTGATCACATGTGCATTTGGGAGGACATTTGTTAGGAAAGGAAGGAGAAGCTATCATCAGTAGTATTTTACATAGTCAAGTGATGGGCATGTTGCTGAATACACACACACACCCAAATTGGCAAAATCTTGAACAAATGCAACAGACGATCTCTCTGCCTCTCTCTTTTTTAAAAAAAATCATTTTTCACAAGTTATAACCAACGGGTAAACTGTTCCTAGATATTGGCAATGAGGCTACACTGCTTCTTTTTTATAATTTCAATTTTCTTTGCTAGCAGCAGAACTCTATCATCTATCTTCTATCATCTATCTCTATTCATCTGTTCATGTCCATCCATCCATCCATCCAGTGGAGGAGTGATGGAGAGAGAAAGGGGAAATGATAATATTAGTAGGAAATTATATTTAATTTAATATATATAATCTGTTTTGTTTCTCCCATCACCAAGGGAATCTAAAACAGGTTAAAGAAAAAAAAACTCAGTTCTCATAGAAGCTACTATAACAATAATAAATTATTCATTAGCCATATCATATTTATAATAAAATATATTCCTAACATAATTTATAAATGTTACTAAATTCAGTGGAATTGTGCTGTTACTTCTATAGACAAATGTACAAAATATTTGTCTACCAGTTACAAGTAAAAAAATAACTTGTACATGTTTTCAGAACACTAACATAAAATATGTCAAAGCAAATGAAAGAACTCCAATGCATTTGAATTGAATGCCAGCACCTTCTAGAAGAAGAATTATATTGCCCTCAGGGCTTAGTTGTGGACTTCCTGGAACATTTAGATGAAATAGGCCTATTCTGATCCAGCAGGATTCCTCAGTTGTGCTCACATTGAATATAATGGCAAAAATCATAAGAGACTATACGATCGTGAAACTATGAGCAACTGACGTAAGAGCAAATTATAAGGAACAGTATAACATCAATGTGATGGTTTTATTTCTTGCTGTCTTGGATTTTTACCTTTTTACTTTTTTTTTAAATCAAATCTTTATTATGTTCAAAGACCAGCAGCATTAAAGGATGGGTTGCTGTCAATTAAAAAGCATAGATCTAAACCAGTGGTTCTCAACCTTTCTAATGCCACGACCCCATAATACAGTTCCCCATGTTGTGGTGACCCCCAACCACTTATACATCACCGGGTGCCAGGGGCGGGGCCAAAGAAAAGGGGGGAAAATGGTGGACAGCCTTGTTTGGCGACCCCCGTGAAATGGTCGTTCGACCCCAAATGGGTTCCCGACCCACAGGTTGAGAACCACTGATCTAAACAATAATTATTATTATTTAGATAAAAGATAAAACAAGTATATAAAAAAAACCAACTCTAAAATCTTTTAGCTTTTTATAATTATTATTTTTTAGTCGCTGATGTATTTAATTGACTGTACCCTGCCTTCCTTATGCTGATCTTTGACCATAATAAACATTTGATTTGACCTTGCTAATTTGATTTGATTTGATCTTGCTGTCTGCAGACAAATTCTACTTCCATTCAGTAGCTTTGTCTCCGTACTTCCAGGGAAGGAGGCAAGATGACCAAACATCTCTCTGGTACTGGTAGCACAGCTGTTGGCTTTGCCTTCACCTTATCTCAAGGTTGGCTTTAGTAAAATTGCCTCTCTAACCCAGTACTTCTCAATTGTGCAGTATAACGTAATTTGCTCTAGATTATGTTTCTCCTGAAAGCACAAGTGTCAAAGGACTTCCTCCCTCCTGTCCTTCCTCATGCCTCATCTCCATGTGCTGATTAAAACAGGGTTCCTCATTTACCATTGCAATATGGGTTTATAGAATATAAAATGCATACTAAACTTCTGACTTATTTCCTCTCCCTCCTCTTGATTTTGATCTTTCCCAAATATTTATCATTTTTTTGCCTACATGGGTTGGAAGCCAACATTTGAGCTTAAATTGAGATTTTAAAGAGAGGAGCAGCACGTTTCCTCCTCAGCAATTTAATTCTGCAGGTGATTGCTAAATGACCACTAAAAGTGAAAACAAAAGGAAGGGTGAAAAATGCCTCTCTCTTTTGCACTTCTTCAGATGAGAAGCATGCCTATTTCACAAGAAAATTTGGAACATTTTAGTCTCTTTCCAGCAAGGAGTCCTGTGTGTTCTTCTTTTTTCCATTATTTTGTGTTTCTTATTCATGCTATGCACCTTATTAAAGTCAGTTACAGTCAGCCTGTAATAAGAACTGAATGGTGACCATTGCTCCATTCCAGGTATCCATAGAGGGGATTCTTTGGTCAAGCATAGCAACACAGTAATC